TTCCATCCCTTCCTATGCAGTGGATATATAGTGATAAGAGCCTATTTGCTTGAGAACACCTGCATTTTAAAAATAATTTCATCACATTTTGAAATTTAAGAAGATAGGAAAAAAATTACCAGTTAATGACTTGCTTAGGAAAAAATCTGAATATACAACAGAAATAAATGAGCAAAAAAAAAGTTATTCACAGAAAAAATCAGTTTTGCCAACCAAATTCAAAAGAACAACTGGTATGGTTCATAATCTGGTATCACTACATCATGTGGATTAAATTTGCACCTTTAAACACAGATTAGAATTCCAGGCATGAAATTTCAATTTTAATTAAAAATTGTTCAAGAAGTCAATTATAGTATTTTATGTTGTAAAATGTATTTAGTTACCTTTAAACTGGTTGCATTTCAAATTTTATCATTTCTGGAGATAATTAGTTTTATACATTAAATGCCTTTGAAAATATCATTATAATCTTGTGTTCTGCATTTAAAATCAATTATTGTTTCAGTGTAATCCAATAGTAAGTCAATGTTTCCAATGCTGAAGGTCTTACTGCTTTTGTCATTGGTGCAGAATTATCATGACTCCCAGTTAAGAAATCATTTTGGTGGAATCTACCTACACAAGTAGAGAAAGGGTGGGCTACTTTTTCCATAGAAGTCCCAGAACTTACAAAGAGAATATTTCCTTTTCAACATTTTCATTTTGGAGACAGTATGGATTTCAAAGCTATTTTCTTGCCTCAAGAATCAATTTGAAAAAAAAAAAAAACAACTGAGAAGATATTTTTCTTTAAAGAATCCTTTCTTAAATTCTTTTTTTTTTTTTTTTGATTGTTGATGAGACTAAAATTAAACCCATATAGTTTCTAAAGAATTGATTAGCCTAGATGCTAATTAAGTGAATTTGGAAATCCCATCTCTCAGTCATAGAACCAAAAAATATATTTTCAGCTGTTACATACAATCAGGACTCCAGGTTCACAAGTCAAACCTGTGGCCACATATGCCATATAGCTAGAAAGAAGGTAGGAGTAAGAACAACAGTCAAAGACTTCCAATAGAAGGACATTAATATATAAATATATATACTACCTTACAATTTATATACAATATACATATAATAATACAATATATATACTACCTTACATTAATATATAAATATATATACTACCTTACTATTGCATAAATGTGTAACAGCTTTCCTTAAAAGGCACTCAACAAAGAAATCATCCTGAATCCAATGCAAAAAAAAGTTGTTCGGAGCTGAAAATCCCAAGCATTTTGAGAATAGAATGTCATTCTTATCTGTAATTAAGCTTATTTAAATGTGCTTATATCTGGCAGAATGTGTGGTTAGAACTATTAAGTGAAAATATTGTGAATGATACAAAACATTTCTATTAAACCTTTAACATTACTAAAATAGTGCCAAAACTACCAAACTTCTGTTTAGTATTCTGGTCGTGGTGGTGGGTGTTAGTTGTTTATTTAACAGTAGAGTGGCATTTCAGAAAAACAATGCCACTAACTTGTACCAACTGATATGCTATGTTTGCATCTTTTTCTGTATTTACATTTTTTAACCTCTAATACTTTCACAGATGGATAATGTTTCTAATAGTTGACAGTTCTTGTTATTCATTATGAAAGCATTATAATTTTTACTGTTTACTATGTCAAACATAAAAGCTCTCTGGCCCCCAACAGAGCCAGAAGAGTCCTATTAGATGATTAAGCTCACAAATCATAAGAAACCATAAAGCAGTAAAATCCTGGGTGAGGCCCACCCAGTATGGAAAACAAAAGATAATTTAAGAGTAGAAGACTCTTTTCTCCTACCAGAGAAGTACATAGCATGAAATTTTGAAAGCATAACCATTGCAGGTATTCAAAAATGATTATTTGAATTAACGGGGTTAAGTACTAGCTAAATAATACATATTTTCTCAAATCACACCAAATTTCATATAGCTACCACCAGAAGTAGCAGGATGTCCTTCTCCTTCCAAGAGACCGTCAACAGAACAAGGCAGTCCTGTATGTAGATATGATTATAAGTGACTTCATGGCAAACTATAACTAAGGTCTTGTCTGAACTTTCAAGGTCATGAAAGCTGATTCATATTTTAAAAAGATATTTAGCAGTCTCAAGATACTGACATATCTGACTGATTTTACATGATGCCTTTAGGCCTTTTAATAATTTCTGATTATCTAGTTCTTTAATATTATGAACCAGTTTCAGTCATCTAATGAAGAAAGCTTGGTGTCTGTTCTGAATTACAGACGAGATTTTCCACAAATGTTAAGTTTATTCATTATTATATTCAAATATCTTGGACCAAATATCAAGCTAATAAGATATTTGCGTTAATCACAGATACAACTTTTTAAAATGAACTATTTCTGTGAATGAGATGTTTCATTTCCACTAAAAGTATATACCGTTCAACTGATAATGTCTATAAATAATTTTATAAATGCAAGTGAAAAGGGCTTTTAAATTCTAAATTCAAATGTAACACTAATGTTTCAAACTGTTTCCTTAGTACTTCCAAGCATGTTTTGTAAGAGTAAGAGCATTATTAACTATCAATTTTATAGTTCATTTTTCAGTGGTATGCCATTATTCTAGAATTTTAAGAATCCCTTAATATGAAAAATAGAAAAATGTTGTCCAATATCATGTTTTCAAACAGTTTAAAATGTATTATTGACAAATACATTGCCAGAAGGTACAAATGGCTGAATCTCTTTTCACATCTGAACACCTAAATTTCTAAAATTGAAGCATATTATCAAGCCATTAAAATTACTGTGTCATCATAATAATAGCTGTCCAAGATACTTTTCAATCACCAATATGTATAAAGCATTTTTTATTTGTTTTGCATTGCAAATAGCCTGTAAAATGACATGCAGAGTAGGTGTGAATCATCATTCCTTGTGCTAGTCAACATCAACATAAGGATTAAAAATAAACAGTTCAATTTACCTTCATTATCATTCTCAAATTATGGGACCATGCATATTGCAGCTCCGAATAAAATAAATCATTGAAGAGAGAGGCAAATAAATCTTTAAGATTTAAAATAATCAAAGATAATCTTCAGTTTAACCAAAAAAATAAATAAATCTGTAAGTACAATTAAATCTATGAGTATTGAGTTAGATATCATCTGTCTTGATATTTCTTAAACCACCAGCCCTCTACGTAAATGAAAAATAAAAAATAAAATAAAATAAAATAAAATAAAATAAAAATTAATTAATATTAATTAATATTTTATATATATGTACATGTATATATATATATAAAGCCTCCAGCTTCTTAGTAAATGTTAGGAAAGAATAAAGAAAGAAGACATGCTGTTCTGTATCTCAACTCATTAGCAGCTAATGAAGCAGAGAATAACAGCAGTCCAGAAGGAAATAGTATATGATTCAGTTGAAAAAGGGGCAGAAAATGAAGACAGATAATGGATGTAATGAGCCAAGAGAGAATTTTTCAGGTTGTACCTTTTGAATTCACAGATAACTCCAGATGTTTTTTCCCATTTCCTCATAAAATGAAAGACATGGAGAAAGACAATTTATCTGTTTGATTATTTATTTATTTTACTGCTGATGTTTTCTCATTCTTATTGCAAAGACAACAGCAGTATGTCTAACTACAATTACGCTTTGTCATGATAAATCTTCAGAATTGCTCTGGACAAGAATGAATGAAGATCACTGGCACTTAAAATAATAGTTTTTCCACATAATGAGCCAATAGATCAGCATTTTCTTCTATGGAAGCTAATAGGAAGCATGCATATGAATACTACTTGGGCATCAAACCATACAGAATAACTGGAAAAACTTTTTAAAGTATATAATTTATATCAATAAAAGTAGCTCACTGTAACTTCTACCACTACCAGAATTAGAGTTGCAAGATGAAATTCAGAAATGTATTTTCATCTTAAATCATTTAAAGGATTAAATCATTTAAAGTATTAAATGTTCTCAAGACATACCTCCTTGGCTATACAGAAGAGGATATAAGTGGTCTAAGTAAGTGTTAGGACAGCTAGACTTTCTGTATGTGCTAAATTTCATTTTGGCTTAAAACAGATTAAGTTGAGGCCTTTCTCTTGAAGTAAGCCCTTGCCCACAGGAACACAGTTACTTCTTTCCAGTCTCATCTCTGTGTAAGAAAAACTCTAATGCTGATTTGCACACTAATGCTGATGACCTCAAACTTTTAAGACATTATTCTACTATTGGCTCTATATGTTTTTAGATCAATTATAGATGTGTTGAGAAGTTTCTGGCAGCATTAATTACATCTTCAAACACCTAATCTCTGCAAGGTCTTTGGTACCTGAAATACTAACATTAGTAGTATGACATTTAATTAGTCGAGACAAAACTTTCTAGCTTACTCCTTGTTTTTATAGAGGCACATTTTGAGTACTAATTATAAGCTACTTTATCTTCTTCTGTCAAAATAATAACCTTCACAATTACAACTATATACTCCAGTACTACATGAATAAAGTATATAATCTGTTTTTTGTCTTAACTTTTTTTTTTTTTTTTTCTGGATTTTTCTTCTCCTTCTGTTATTTAACAAGTAAACATTCCTTAAGCATTTAATGTTTGTTACAGAAAAACAGTTTTAAGGTTTTCATTACTCATCAAGGATGAATTAACGAACACTTCATAAGTGAAGCTACCAGTGGGAAAAGCCACCTGTGACTGACAGGTTACATGACAAGCTTAAGCAATCTGGCATCTCAGTGGCTGTCCTGGGGGATCTGGTGATCCGTGGTGCAACAGAGTCATGCAAACAGGGGCTGCTCCATAGCATAAGGTAGAGAGAGACAGGAATAATACAACAGAAAAATCCTGAAGCCATCAGTACTAGCTTACCCTAGCATTGCTCTACACACCCTGGACAATCCAGCAGGAAAGCAGTGACCTGACCGCAGATGAACAGACATTACTTACATTGTGAACTCCTATGTAGCTCTCTCTTCCTCTTCCTCTGGTTCTCCAAAGCACAATGTATTTAGAGACAGCTGTATGAAAGGCAGATTCTTGGCACCTCTTCTGTGCATCATTACTTGACATTATTTTAAAGAACAGTATTGCAAAGAGAAATCGTAAGAGTATTTTGCTTATTAACATCCTCAGAGACCTTGTTAGGGACACAGCAGGGACAGGAAATCACTCCCCACCCTAGATGTCGTTTCCAAATACATTTGTGACAGAAGAAAGGACAGTTCAATTGGCTGTCACTCCCCAGCTTTTCTGTTGATCATCTGTTCTTTCAAAAATCTCCTTTCCAGCTACAAATATTGGATGGCATGTGCATGTTTTGACAATCTAAATAGTAATTACTCTAAGTTTGATTCCTTCATCATCTTCAGTTGCAATGTTCCCAGTTTATATACTACAAGTTGCTACATCTTTTAGATCTCATTTAGATAATTTTACAGAAGTTGACTGTGCCACACAAAAATACATTGGGTAGTTACCCCGGAACTCTGTTTTTTACTCCTAATAAGGAATGGAAAGAGGAATCTAAAGTCCACATATATCTGAGACTATTAGTATTCTGCTTACAACAATTAAATAAATAGGAGGAAATTTTCACTAAGGGTTCCCTTGCCATGTTTCTTTTCACCTCACACTCTATCCCCTGCCCGAAAGACTCAGCTTCTCCCCCATCCTACGTACTATTTTCTTATAAATAGAAATTACTCTTTCTTAAAGAATTGACAAAATGTTCCTGATTCCTGCTAACTTTTAAGGTAGAATGTTTCTGTATTTGAGCCAGACATGCTGTATGTGACACACTACAGCTGGCAAGTGATGGGATTTTCAGATTAAAAAAATGGCCGTCTTCTCAGTACTTTAAGCATAACTCTTAGACAAAATTAATTATATGCCTTTCTATCTTTACATCATAACTTTTCTCTGATGTTCCTAGGTAGTAGCCTCAAGACCATTCTCAGGGTAAAAATACCAAATTGTGTGTTCAATTACAAGCGCAACATAAACCTTAAAGGCAGCAATATAATTATTGCCATAAGCTTATCTTTATGTCAGCTTAACATTTGCTATGGAGCAACTTAAGAGTTATTTTTAGGCATTTAAACAGGAGCACATCTGGCATGGGGTGTTCATTAATGAAGTGTGTTAAAACTGGTAAGACATTGCTGATATCAACAGAGGAAAGCACTGAGATTTTGGAACATTTGGCCTGGTATTTTTATGTGCTTCTTTGAATGCTAAATGTTAATAATGATGAACCAAAACCTTGCAGAATATTCTCTTTATAATACTAGCCATAGCATTACAATCTTTCAAGGTGTCAACACAAATTTCTGTCTTCAAATTAAGTAAATTCAAGCATTTGGACATACTTCTAGAACAATATCTCATTCATAAACAGTATTTGGCATCACGTACAGTCACAAAGATAAATAACCCATTGCTAGACAATCTGATTTTAAAACCAATGCCTACTAGTCATATCAATTATACTTTCCATAATAATAGTTGTGTAAAACAGGCAGCATAGGCTGTACAAAATTTAGCATCAGCAAGCATCCTTTATTTTAAATTAGTTGGAAAAATGTTCAGTACATGGTAATTTGGATCTTTATAACCTGGAAGAGGTCTTTTCTGTAATACACTTCCAGAAGAAGTCTTTAAATACTTCTTTGTAACAAAGCCTGCAAAGTTTAAAGCATGAATATTTGTTCTATACCTATATTAGTTTCACTGCAAACTTTCACACTCTTTTAAATTCATATTCACCAAGATTTTGAAATAGTCATAACGCACCTTATTAAAATTGTACAATAATCAAGCAGAATGTTCCACAGCCTGTACTTTGTATGCAAATTTGTTTTCCTGATATGCCATTTATTTCTTTTTGTGGTAACAGCAAATACTTCTGTATAAGAGCTCAGATAAAAAAAATAACATTCAAAAAAAAAATGAAATAAATAAATTAAGTAAAAAGTAATTTGTGTAAAGCAGGATGATGGATTTTTGTAGAAATTAAAGTTACACTGAAGAATTAGATATTGGGTAAGCAAAAGAAGCTTTTTGAAACTATGTTGCTGATTTACTTCTTATAATTACCTGTTCCAGATTTCCTGTCTATCCTGAATAGCATGGAAATACCTGACTACAGAACTCTTTCCTCACTGTTTACAATTTGCTGGACTAAATGGAGAGTTTCCTCTGCAATTTTATATGATGTGTAAACAGAATTTTTTACATTATTAGCTTGAGGCTTATTGGTATAGGAACAAAACGAAACATGCCATTTTAGTGGCACTTTCCAGACATAAGCAACAACACAATATCAAATTTCCTGACAGAAAGTGGATCAAATTAAACAGTGGGCATGCTTTAGAACTTGTTAAAAATGTTATGAAATTATTTAGATATTTGAATACTCAACATCATCTAGAAAATAGAACATAAAAGGTCCAAGTCTAGCTCTTAGACAAAATTGGGACAAATAATATCTATATCTTTCCTGACAGATGGAAGGGTTACACGACTTTATACCACTGAAAACATTTGAAAACAGGTTATATAACCTATTTATTACTTTACATTTTCCACTACAGTAGGAAGGTGCATATAAACCAACAAGACCTATTTCAGGTTTGGTACAGATATTCTATCTGTACATGAGGTAAAGAAATAAGGGAAGCCTTATTTTTCTGATGCAGTCAACTTGAAGAGAATTGAAGGAAAAGAAAATTGAGCTCTGTAGTAGCTACAGCCATGACTAGAAATTTCCTTTGGATATACACTTATTCCAAAAATAATGCTGGAAACAATTTATACACAATCTTCCTCTTCCATACAGAGAAATCACTCAAGAATGAAGGTCTCAAAATAATATATTCACAACAAACAGTAGTAGTACTATGTTTCAAAGCATGAAATAATTCAACACCTAAGTATTTAACAGCACAGGGGTAAATAGCAGCAATCTTGCTGTCTTTTGCAAAAGCAGTGCATTCAAGTATAATGTCAGGCAAGAATTATACAAAGCACATCTGGTCAGGGAAGTTCATTGTCTGCATGAGATTGAATCACTACTCATTTCACATTAAATATATACACTAACCTTATTCTCCAGAGATCATTTCTTCAATTCTACCAACAGCAGTGATTTTTTATTTTTTTTTTTTAAGTTTAAACTGTGACAAACACTTGCATGTTATGAAGAGGAAAGGTAGATGGTGGATATATGCTGAGAGGAAGAAGGTCTGAGGCACCAGAACAGCAGAAGAGATCTTTTTAACTTGCAAACGTCCAGTACGGGATGTTGCTTGAAATTCCTCAGTAACAGAAGGAAGTTATTTCAGGTCTCTGGGGAAAATTGCTTAATTCATTTAGTGTCATATTCATCCTGAGGAATACACATTTAGTTGGAAGGGAATAATTTATGAAAGGGTATAAAGTAATTCTCACCTTCCAGAGTCTTTGTACAGAGAAAAGTCTAAATCCTGCTAATACTCAGGCAAATAATAGTAAGAACTGTGTTTTAGCTAATTGCAACAGAGATACTGGCTGGCTGACACTTCTGCATTAAGTCTTGAAGTTTTCCGACTGGAACTCATACTAACTTATGCTTGGCTATATTGAGGGTGACATACTCTCAAGAAGCTCTGGAAAAAAGCAGTAAGATTTCATGCCACTAATAGGAGAGGATCACGTTTATTGAAGAAACTGCCCTGAAAAGAAAAATCCAAATTCCTCATTAATGAAGCCTGTAGGATCAGTTGAATCATGTGCTCAGTGGTGTTCCAGGCACAGGATCAAGGGCAGGTATGCAACAGTGGCGTACTTAAGTATTACCAACCACAGGACCGAGACACTTGAGGCAAAAATAGTTTACAGCACATGCCAGAGTAATGTGTAAAACTATGTTTGAAATGACTACACTTCTTAACAGTTTAGATTTCATTACTGCATAAACACAAGACCAAAATGGCTATGCATGATGCTTGAAATATTAAGAAGGTAAAAATTTAAACCTTCTTTCTTAACAGAGTTTTCTCTTGGGTAAAGCCTCTTAAATTGTTATTTTTTATTATCTATTTTTGAAGATATTGTGAACTGCTGAGTACCTTGCCTTTTTGAAAACTTAATCACTCTTATAAAGTTTCTAAACAGAAAAGGAGTGGTGTTTCAAGAAAAAGTCAGATAGTTTAATGAACTGAACGTTTTTAAAAACCTAACTGTAAGTTGTGCTGCAGTGGTAACATCGGCACAGCTTGTACAGAAGTTTGCTATGATTGATGAATGGCTTGATGATAAAGTAATCCTGTCTAATAGTTACCTACCACTAACAGAGGAGGTTCTGCCCTGTTCTTGAATTCTCTTGCCTTGCACTGGAACTGAAAAATGACTGATTCTGAAATTAACTGCTTAAAGACGGCAAACTGCAAGAAAATACTTCAGTAAAATGTTGCTTGTGCAACTAAGGACTTCTGATCCCATTGCTCTATCACTGGAAGACCAATTACAGCCTGCAAAATATGCAGCCAGTACCTTGAAAATGCAACCAATATTGTTAAGATCTGAGAAGCTCTGTTTAGACAGAGAAGAAAAGACACCTTGTACTTCCAGGCTTCTTATTCATTTGCTGAGCTTACATCAGCCACAGTGACTGAATTGGGTTTCCAGGAAAACAGCAGCTCCTTACAATTAGTCAAGTAAAATGACACTTGTGAGTTCATATGCTACTAATAGAAACTTGTTTAAATTTCTTTTGTACAGGAGGACCAAAAAAATACCATTTGAAAACAATATAGCTTAAAACCAAACCAAACAAAACAAAACAAGAAGAGCTTTCTGGCTACACACCAAGAAGATCTTTAGCTACATCACTTTCTGTGAACAAAGATAAAAAATAACTACCCTACAATGCAAAGCCAGAAACCAAGACTCATTCCATGAAACTTCTTTACTTAAAAAAATTGAAAAAATGTTTGTGTCAGTGTGTACCTGAGATGAGCAATTCTCAGAAGTAGGTTTTTTTTTTTTTTTCTGCTATGGAAAGGGCTTTATTCTTTCAAACAAGCTCCAACCATTAGTACCGTCTTCAGAAACCTTATATTTTCTTTCCCATGCTCTAGCTGTAGTTGTGTGTGTGTGTGTAATCTTATAAAAACAATGATGGTAATAGTATATAAT